CAAATTAATATTTAAAATTAATAATAAAAATATCATAACAATATTAATATTATTAAAATTTAAAATTGAGGTGTTACAAGAAAAACATGAAGATCAAGAAAAAAAATCCAAAATATTGTCGTAGATGCAAAGAAAGAAATGCAATATGATGAGTAAGATGAAGAAGAAAATATTACCCTACTTGTCAAGAAGTTTAGAAAATTCTTTCAAAAAGGCAAGACTATATGATTTGGTAAATGAAGGAAAATTTTCAAGAAAAAAGAGACTTCAACATCAAATCAGAATTTCACTTGTTTTGAATTCGGTAAGCAAGGCCGCATGAGAGTAGATTGCCCATCACTAGCAAAGAAAAATGGCTTCAAAGGAAAGAAATAATTCAAATCAAATAAGACCAACATCACATGAAAGGACAACAAAGTAAGTTCATCTTTCGATTCAGGATATGAAGAATGTGTAAAATTAGCATTGATGGCCTCACACCATTTAGTTGATGAACACGGGGTTAATAATTTTGAAATTAATGATACACCTCCATACGATGAATTGTAAAAAAATAATCGTGAATTCTATGAGAAATATTTGACACTTTCTAGAGCATGTTCAAAACAAAAGAAAATAATTTTGTCTCTAGAATGCAAGAATGACACTAAAGTGGAATTAGACAAAGTCAAAAATTCAGGCAATAAATGTAAATTACATGAATCTAAAGTTGTTGAATTAAAATCATAAAAATATGAGAAAGGTAAATTTGGTTTGGAAAATGTACCAATTAGACAAAGATACTCAAATGATAAATATGGACTTGGTTTCTCTAAATTTAATAAACAAAAAACAAGTAAAACTATCTTTATTAATGCTAGTAATAAATTTAACAATTGTAAAACCAAAGAAAGTGAATGTTGTAATTCATCCTAAGAAATTTTATGTTAGAAATAATTCTTATGCCTATAAAACCACCACGTCCTTAAACTTGTATGTTTTTATAGCAATACAAAAGGCCATACCCCTAATGCTTTCTATATAAGAAACTTAGGTGTTTCTAATATAATGCATGGGTTAATAAAGGACCTAACCAACATGAATCCAAAGCACATTGGTTAGCTAACAAAGTTTAACTTGTTTTATAGTCATGCTTTTGAAGACCACTACCAACATGTGGTATCTAGATCATGGTTGCTCCAAGCACATGATCAGAGACAAGTAGATATTTCCATCTCTTACTCTAAAATATAAAGGATTTGTGACATATGTAGACAACAGAGGAATAATTCTTGGTATTTTCAAAGTTGGTACTCTTTCGTTTACTATTTGTTTCATTGTAGAACCAGAAATAGAGAAGATTACAGAAGTGGCAGTGGAGAAAAACTTCTTAGGAAATTCAATGATGCGACACCATGGATCAGAGGTTACAATTTCTGTGTCTCCTGAATCAGAGACGTTGATCTTGAACTGGTGTTGTTAATATCCATTACAGCGGACAAAAGAGGGAGAGTACCTGCATAGTTAGCACTCCAACGCCCAAGTCAGTTTAGGGTTCGAGAAAATCATTGTGAGAGTGGAGATTAGAAATTGTGTACTTGAAACCCTCTGTGAAGGTATTTATACCTCATGCTCAATTTAGAGGGCATAAGAAGTGGGTCTCATATTATTGGGCCTTCGCCCAACACATAACAATTGCTCCTAAGACTCGCCAAACACTCTAGATATTGAGGGAGTCTTTTAACAGTCATGATCCGCCTTCGGAAATGGTTGTCTAGCCGTCGACTGACATGCACTACTTTGGTTTCTCCAAATCATGATGGGGAACATGAGCATTACATACAGTTCCATCATTGAAATATTTTATTATTTTTCTTGATATGTGACATGAAACCGTGGAGAGTGGTGTGATGTTGCTTACTGTACACTTGAGTGTACTTGAGTTTGATTATGTTCCCAAGATGAAATCTAATTGTTGATATGCACTTGCCTCTTACTTTTAATTTGATCTGCCCGATTGTCTTCTCCTATATAAGGATAAAAGAAATATGGATACATTTTTTATAATCTTTTAGACTGAGTTTCTCTTATTTTCTTTGAGTCTTTCCTTTTTCTCTGAGAGTGTATTTACAAGAGTAATCATTGTCACGTATTTAAATCTTAAAAGCTTTGACTTCCATCCTTCTTTTTTGCTTTACTGCCTTCGACCTTAGATTTCAAGGTACCTTTTCTGCACCTTAGCTTTTTTACTTAAGCATTTATTGCACCTTTGTTACGATGATCGATATCCCTTTCATCATAGATAGTGACTCAGAGGGTAGTGTTTCTTCCTCTTCAAGAAGGAGGTGAAACCTAAATCGTATTATCTTCCCTCTGTTAGGGAGGATTTTGAATGAGAGATCATTTCTCTTATTGAGTATTTAGAAACAAAAGAAGTGTCTGAGGACTCCTTTTTTTAGGAAACTTCTTTCGACAACTTTCAGGAGCCCTCCCTTTAGGAAAATCCGGTGGGGTGAAGATTCTATCGAAAAATTGATGTTTCCCTCTGTCTTAGCTGAGGCAGAGATAAAAGCTGCCCAACAAAGGTGGGAATATGTCAGTAACTTTGTCAAAGTATAGTGAGGAATGAATGGTCGTGAGCCTAGCGATGCCAAAATCACACGTCATTTGGAATTTCAGGGACAGTCTAACATTGTGTCTTGGATCAATCCCGGTGATCACTTTAAAGCTTATGACTTGGCCTATAAGGGATTTCAGTTAGTTGAACCGAATAACGCCAATATATATCACTGTGAGGCCGCCAAAGTGATTGGAACTCCTTCCACCCTGAACACTATCACAACTATAGAAAAAACTGACATTGTGGTGGACAATTCCTCGGATTGGTTGATTCTGATAGTAGGCCTGCCATAAAGGATATGCAACTATTTTAAATGATGTTTGCTTTCTCTGTATGAATGTCTCTTCATCAGGTTGTATATATGTTACCCTTTTTCTGATTTTGAGGTGGCCATGATGAACTGTTTGAGAGTTGCCCCCTCCCAACTTTATTCGGGAGTCTGGACTTTCTTGAAGGTGTTCCAACTCTGCATTGAACGAGTGTCTTGGGAAAAGTACATATTCATCATTATTTATTATTTTTCACATAACTTTGATGATTTGGCACAAGTAAAATACTTAATAAATTGGCTTGGTGAAGAAACAAGTTACTCTTTGATTCTTTTGTTGCAGATACGGTGTTAAAAAAATCTCTTACGATAGTAAATGAATTTATATATGACACGACCCGAAATGAGCATTGTTGTTATCTGACTGGGATGTTAGAAGAAAAGGAAGTGGATCAATTGATACTCATAATGCACTATTAGTCTATCACAAATAGATGTAGGTACAATTAGACGTAGTGAATAAGAAAATGTTGGATCCCCTAAGGAGTTATTATCAGGTAAAATACGTGCAACAAACTATTGCATGTGATTATTGTGGTAAAGATCGTGAAAGTGGCCAGTTTAAATTAGGTGGATACATTCAAGAAGAAGTCAATTTCATGAGAAATTTTCAAATAAATAGCTCGATCTCAAGCACATGTAAACCTGTTGGAGGAATCATCTAAATTTTTAGAAGTGATAATCCTAGTAAGAATCAATCAAGGGTGGGAGTATAAAAAAAATATCAATATCAAAACCCAAGATCATCACACCAACAATACTCAAATCAACAACATAAGTACCCAAACAAGCAACAACAATGCTTGTTTCAACAAGAATAATACTTTTCCATAATTCTTTAAAATCTTTATTTAAAACCTACAAAAACATAAGTGTATTTTAAAAGAATTTGATGTTAAAAACATCCGATGGCAGACTCTCATCAGCTTCTAAATAGACTCTCATCAGCTTGTAAACCTTCTTTGATCTTGTCTCACTTTTGTACAGTTTCCATGCAATATTCTCTCTTGGCCACCAATACTTTCTACATATAAGAAATTTTGAAACTAAAGTTTCTGGCTCTGTATTTGTTTCCACTTATGCTTTGTGGATCTCCTGCATCGTGTACTCCACTTCTTTTTCCTTCTAAGCATATTAAGAGTTCAGGAGAGACTCTTCCTATAAAAGTTGTTTGCTATGATAATATAATGGACACTTGCCTTGATTTTTCGAGCTTCTTCCTCTTGATCTGGGAGTGTATTATTTAAGAGATACTCCCAGATGTCTTATATCTTCGCCATGCCTCAAAAAGCTTCTTTCTCTCATGATTAGAATGTAAACAAAGCTCTTCGAATCTATGCGATTTTGAATCTTCATTAATGTTTATGAACACTGGCCTAATAAGATGCTTCTGAACAGAGTGTGTCCAGAAAGAACCTTATCTGTGTGTATACTTTTAACCTTGTTATGTATGGGATTGTGATCTTCTATGTGTTAGCAAGATTGAGAACTTTTCTCCAATCAGATGTTTGTTGTCTGGGGGTTGTGTATTATCACTTGGAATAAATTAAAGGTCCACAACATTTACATTATAAGATTAAAATGATCAACTTGAAAGAAAAAAAATTATATATTAAAATAAGTTAGAGGACATGATGGGTAGTTTTGCATAAAATATTGGAGGATTATAAATATTATGCACAAATTGAGGCTTGCAACTTACAACCAAATTCAGCATAATCTATATTTACAAGCAGAAATCCTAAAACACAAACCCCGAATTAGGGCCAACCCTACACAAAGTAGAATTTCTCTATAATGAGGTCGACTTCAGTTCTGGCAGTAGTTTGTAGATTTAAGCCTTCAACGTTCTGCACCTGAATTCTGAAGTCGCGCAGTGTGTAGTTCAGACCGCATCAGCACGTTAAATAAATTTATTCTGAAGCATTAAACAAAACAAATTAACCAACTTTCAGTAAAAGATAAAAGTATTTGGGGGTTGTATATGCCGAATCCAGTAGAAAAAGTCAGAGTCTGTGTTCTTATACCGTACCAATCATCAGTTATGCAAAATATTCATCGAGTACAATAATCTTATTGTGCTTTTCTGTCTTGCGTCCGGTCCTGTTTCTCCAGGGGTAAAAGAGATAAAATCCACATCCTACATAAACCAAAATTGAAGCATGTGGGTACAATGATCATATCTCAATAGGTCCTTTATAATATATAATCAAGCCAACCCACTAGCGATTTTAATGCAATGTGAAAGAATAAGTAATGAAGAGCTTACGACACATTATTTGAAACATAAAATATCGGAAGCCTTTCCACTCCTGCAGGTCTCCATTTAGATCTTTCAAAAGATATTTCTTGGTCAGCCTCCGACCCAGTTGCTGTTAGAACAAACTGAAACGTACAATATAACATACCAATTTACTATCACTCATAACTATAACATGTTATTTTAGTATTGACTAACAAAACGAAAATGTGAAAAATTCGTAAGTCAAAACGCTGGGGTAACACTCACAACCAACACAGTGACACATACCAGTGGAAAAAGTATAGCCATAATCCCATAACTCACAAGAGGAGAGAAAAAGAATATAGCCAAAACGCATGGACTTCCTGTAATGGCACAAATCACTTATTAATCTAAAATATGAAGGGAATCATAGGATAAAGTATAATACATGAAAGAAAAATGTGTTCCATAGTTCAACAGTCTTCAACAAGAAAATGCTGTTAGACTGAATTTTAAACATCAACAAGCCTAGTAGGCAACAAGATATTTCGAGTTATTAGCATTCTGCTCTGTAAGTGCATAATTCTCAAAGTTGAAGATCCTCAGTCCCCATTCTCATACACCAAATCTATCCTTGCACAAACAACCCTTAGTATTATCAAATATTAAGAGAAAAAGAATTGTTCTTCTTAAGGTTTGTGAAATAGGTCGCTATATTTGAGAATTGAGAGGCGTCAAAAAAGAGATCACGTGATTTTGAACATATATTTTTTGTTAGTGAAACAAACAGGTGTTGTTTATAAAAAAAGATTGTCTTTAAAAATCTTACCAAAACCAGCAAAAAATGGCCAGTAAGATTGAAAGTAGTCCAGCCTTCTGTCAAGAGCCACTTCATTGAAATTCCATTTATACCTAATCAAAAAGCATACTTTAAAACATGTATCCAATTGGTGAAGGAGATCATTAAGCAAAGGTGTATAAGGTCCACATACTCGAAGCAGTAATATGCATACATCCAGGAAAGGAGTAAAAAATTGAGCACCTTCCCTATGAATGGTATGAAACCAGTTGCATAAACCTGCAAATAACATTAGAAATGCATGATTTTATACAACTAGGATAGATAAAACAAACTAAAAACAAGTTTATTGAATATAAGGTATAGATAATATATCTATCAATATGGGAACAAAAATTATAATAATTTATTACCTCAAGAAAGAAAACACTCAAAAGGAGTATCGAGTACACCTGCTCTCCTATTCCAATCATGACCCTGAGTTAAGCAAACAAAGTAGCTGAACCTTTTAGGTGTTGATTAACATGGTAAGAATTAATATCAATAAGAAAGAAAGAAAAAACATGCAGTATGAAGTAACTATTAATTAGATCTTTACCCTTCAAGGCCAGATGGTCTTTTTGCTTGAATAGCATTTTGCATAATTGGTGTGTTGTTTTGGCTGGAGACTTTGTCCACAGTAAACTTAGATCTTCCCATTGCAGCATACCCATACTTGGCAATGTCATTGTACCTAAATACACATCCTTAGCAATTTTTATAGGAATAAATCCTATCTTACAATGGGAGAGTGGTACTGATATATAGGGCAAGAAAACAAATACGAAAAAATACAAGCAAGAGTTCCCAGGAGTGGACAGAACTCCTAACAGCCCCAAGCTTTCAGCTAGAAAAGAAAAAAAATGTGCCCTCCTCCTTTATTTGTGATTCACTCTCCTTACACCAGATTCATTTTCTATTTCCTCTACCAGCTCACTCCCTCCAAACTCTCATACTCTCAGAAATCTTGCTAATTTGGTAAGCCTACAGAATAAACCCTTAGGACCTTAGCTTTTGGATCCTTGTTACCACAAAGTCTCATTTAGATTACAAAAACAAAACAATATACTAGTTCATGACCAGTTTATGAAAAATAAATTAGACATGGAAATCCAATCGACAGTACTTTGTTTGTGATTGCAATGAAAACATGACTATCAACTGAAACACTAGCCTATGGAGACAAACACTATTTCGCAATATTGATGTGTTTTGACACCTGGGTTGGGATTTGTAATCTAGAATCTCCAACAAGAACTTCAATTCAGCATTATTTTGGTTGAAAAAGAAGCAGTCCAAAATATTCATTCTGTAGGATTTGACACATGGGTGCAAAAAGAGATTGGACGGCTACACTATGTCTCTACTTTGTGGTGTTTAATGACCTTTCAAAGAATAAATCTTATTCTCTTAAAAAAAACTTCCATGATTTATGAAATTTCATTTCTTAGTAATAAAGGTGTAAAGAAATAAGTAATAACTTGACAGGTAAAAAGACAATGAAGGCCAGCACAATGCATCAGACATGACAAAAAAGACGGGCAGAATAAATCAGGGAATGAAAATTACCATAAGGTGCTCAGAACTATGCTAAATACATATAATGGGTAAAACCAAAGCCCCTGCAAGGAGACAATCACAAAAATTAGTTGGAAAACCACATTCATTCAAAGCCTTTGCATGGCAGTCTAGATATTGAAAGATATCTGGAATACATTTAACAATGAAAAATGAGAAAACTCTCTAGAGCAATTATGTAATTATCTCGACAAACACTAGCTTTTGAAACTTATATTTCTCGTAGGCATGCCATGCTTTTCTAAATCAACTTATGGGTCAGCGAGTCTGTTTAACCTGCCTGTAACATAGTATGTAGATCAACTTATTGGTGAAAATCTGATTCAGCGCAAATATTTGAACCGTATTGCTATCTTAGGCATATATTATATAAGATAACAAATAACCCAAAAGCTGTGATGCAGAAAGTACATGATCAGATCTGCTTCCAAAGTGATATTAGCTCAACATAATAAATTTTTTCATACATAAACAAAAATGCTGAAAATCCATGCAAGTTATAAAGGCAAACGAATATCTACTTGTAAGGAAAGGAAAAAGAATAAGAACAACCAACAAAGCAATTTTTCAGGTCAATGTACACTTCAAAAATAGTATATTATATACTTACATAAAAGAGTTGAATGAGTGCAAGACGTAAGAAAGAATAAAATTTCAAAGTTCCACCTAAGGCACACAATTTATGAGAAACAAGCTGCGAGCATTGATCAGGTAATATCCACCACAAAGCAGGAATGACAACCGAGTTTAGGACAAATATACTGCACAAAAATAAAAAGATGTTCAAATCACCAAACACATTGATTATGCATGTATCAACCAATAATTGTGAGCCAGAATTATTCCAATCATGGAGTGATAATGTCTCTCGGTGGCCATGAGTTGAATTCTCCACACAACAAGATAAAAACTAACAATTAACATTTATCAATTCAAAAAAAGAAACTCGTCCAATAATCTTCAATAAATCATCATGTCAAATAGGACCAGTTTCTTTCTATGTCACAAATTCTCATTCATTCTGTTGAAATAAATTTAAGCTAGTCAAAACCGATCTCTACTGATCACTGATCAGTTCACTCACCTGATCTGAGAATAGTCAAAACCAGTGAATAGGATAACAAGATACAGTACTAACAAACAACTAGCAACAAAAGAAACAAAAAACATGACAAAAATACAAGGGTCATTCTAACAAGCACCTTAAGGGCAATCCATAGATAGGGTTAGAAATTGATAGGTAAAACAAAAATAGTAAGTAAAAGTAGCAAATTGAAATTGAAATTGAATGAAGTGGAGAACAATAACCTTCCTAAGAAAATGAAACCATTGAGGAGAAAACACTGGCCTGTTCGCATCAAGAGATTCTTTGACCTACAAAACAGCAAAATCAAATTCAAATTCAAATTAAATTCCAAATTCAATTCCAATTTCAATTTCAATTTCAATTTCAAATTGGTGAAGTGAAAGATGAGTGTGAAAACTTACCTAAGACAGAGAATAACAACGCGGTGAAGGCAACAGGCTTCTCTCAAACCCTCCACCCATAGAACACCACAACACTTCACCTTTTCCATAATCTGCTTCATCATCAACGCTTTACTCTTACTTCACCTTCAAAATTCTCGTATTCATCATCATCAAATCAATGTTTATTTTTTTTATTAATAAGGACCGATAAACTAAATTTATAGAACAACGCAGTAAATTCTCCTGTTTTTTTTAAACATTAGTAACAAACTTTGATGAATATAAGGATTTGAAGTAATAACCTTAAAAGTAACACACTTTAATAAAGCTAAGTACTTGTAAAATCAATTATTTTAACTTGATTGGTTTTCTTTTTCTCCTCATTTTTAACTGTAATTTGACAATTCATGTATGCAAACGAAAAATTATATAATTAGGACTTTAAAAATATTAAAGAAAATTTAGTCCATAATTTTTTTTAAGTAATATATATATAGTTTTTTTAAGCTAAAGAACCGGTAAAAGAAAACCTATTTTGACTTTCAGAGTAGCCCAATAATTAATTAAGAGGTAAAAGTACTTCTATGCATTTAAGACATAAGTTATGTTTGAATTCATGAAACATAACTGAGCGGAGCAGAAAGGAATATAATTGAACAGAAAGGAATATAGTAAAATTGAATATAAATCTCACTTTATTATTTGATTATTTTATTAAAAATGTTTCATTTTATTACATACACTCCAAATTGGATAAAAAATAGAGAATTGGATGAAATAGATTTCATCATGTTTCATTGCACCCATCCATTATTTACAAATTCAAACAATTGAATATCATTAGTTACCATCACATTTCATTTTATTTCATCACACACCACCAATGCAAACATACCATTAAGACACAGTCATACTTTTTATACATCACTTACCCATATTAGACTTTGATCGTACCTGATCAGAAGGGATCGTCAATGACTCACGAGTTTGAGTTGAACAACGGTTGGAAGTGAAGTGGAGGGGGTGTACCTGCAAGGTACTCTGATGCCAAAGTGAGAATAGAGACAATCAGAGTGCAAGTACAAAGTGAGAGTGAATGAATACTTGATCCTCTCATGTGAGATGGTATTTATAGCCTCAGCGATGGGCCAAGATCTACGTATTGGGCCAGATAGTTAGGCTCAATAGCAAAGAGTGTCAGGGTTACGTGAGTAGTGGAGACCAGCACGTGGTCTCCTCCCTGGTCAAATGCTCCGAGATAATAGGAAAGTTAAGGACCCGTTATTCTCGGTGGGCAGGATGATGGTAGTGTTGGCCACGTCTCCCTGGTGGGCACGTGGAGAGACTCCCAACGGTTGATGAGTTGGAACGCAGGTCATTAGGCCATAGCAAAGGCGTTGGATTGGGCATGCTCAACGGTGGGTCAAATGTAGGTCCAGTCCAGAACATAAGCCTCCAAAGTTATTCTTCTTGGACGAAAGAGTGATGACTTAAGACAAGATTAATTGTCGGGGAAATGTTACCCAACAAAGAAGTTGTTAACTTTCTGTAGGGGATGACTTTGTGATCTTCCTCGACGCTCGAGATCGAGAATTATGAATAATCACCGTATTTCGGTCGGGGATGACTCTGTGATCGTGCCTTTCTGCTCGGTGATGAGGACATGCGTATGGCACGGTCGATTTGTTATGATGGACCTTTTTCGGTCGATTCGTTCGCTTCATGTCTTGATGTGGGTGCTCGTTTTGGATTCGCATTCGCAGGGAAAATGCAGAGCTTTCCCCGGGCTCGCATTATAGACGTGCCCGTAAGAAAGGTGCCACAATGATGTCGAGCATGTGTTTGTCAATGAAGACTTTTGAAATGGTGTCAGCGCGTGGTTTCACGCGTGGGATTTTAAGGTCGGTGGTGCATCACTTCACGTGCCACACATGGATGCTATTTAAAGCGCCACCATTTTCTAGGGAAGTCTAAGAGCCTAAGCAATTATGACCCCTAGCACGCTACTCCGTATGGTGGGTGTGATACAGTGGGAGAATTGACTTGAGGTTTTGCGTTTGTGTTCGCAAATTTTTCGGTTTAGCAAGAGTCGCCACCGACTTTTATTTTATCCAAAAGGAAAGGTCAAAAAGCACAGGAAAGACCTTTGAGATGTTTTCTTGGGTTCGGAGGGTAAATTATGAAAAGGGAAGGTGCTAGCACCCTTTTCATCCATGGTTTTCCATGGGCTCTTAGTTACTTGTTTAGATCACTTGCTTTGCTTTTTCCAATTGTTTGAAATGGTGCTTTGTGTGGTTTTGAAAGTATTTTAAAAAGAGGCCATCATTTTGGCAATCTTTATAATGATTCTTGTTTGCAAGAATGTATACAAAGATGTTTGTCTTTTGAAAAAATATTTCAATGTTTTGAAAGTTGTTTGGAAATGTTTTGAAATGTGTGTGTATTTGTTTGAAAATAGCAAGGATTGTTTGAAAGAGATCAAGTAACTAGGAGTTATCTACCCTACTCAAAAGTCTTTCCTACACATTTTTAACCCTTTGACATTGTTGTTTTACCATTGCATTGATAAACAACCCTATCTTTGGATGTTAAACGGGACGGGCGTGGGTCATCGTATGATCATGATAGCAATGGTGCCAAGTATCTTAGCAAGTTTTAGGGACTAAGATCATTTGTTTTTAGGCAACATTTTGATAGCGTCATCGAGGGACTATGATCTTTTTGTTTCAATTGATTTTGTTTTGCCAAGATACCTAGCATGAATATCATGGCCATTTTAAGGCAACAAAGTGGGTGAAACCCTATGGGTGCTTGTGTGCAATGTGTTGTCATTTTCATGCATTTTTGTCTTGTGTTAGGTCATGCTATTTGTTTGATTTTTGGTCTTTGCATACAAAACCCTAGTTTACTATCATGGTATATGAAAGCAATAAAATGCATAAAGTAAATCTAGACTATTACAACAATATTATGGGAAGGGGGTACAAGTTTGAATAGGGGGATATTTGCACAAAATAAAACCCTAATTTACTATTACAACTCAATTGAATTTATACAACAATAAATAAACAAACAAGTATTTAAATATGGAATAAATTGTAAATATGCAAAAATGTTTTTGTATTTGTTTTATTCATGAGAAAATAAATTTATTTATACCTTAAAAAATAAGAAAAATAAAATGATTATTTTTGAAAGGGTGAAAACCCTAATTTTTGTTTTAAAAGAAAATATTCTATATTATTTATTTATTCATTTTTCTTTAAGAAAAATAATAATAATATATACAAAATGTTAAAAAATGAATATTGTATGAAAATATTATTTTAAGTGTATAATATAATAAAATAAAATATTTAAGTATTTTAATATTATTTACAATTTTATTTAAGAAAATAAAGTATATTGTTATTTAATAAACTATTTTTATGCTAGGAAAATAATAAAAATAATAAAATAAAATGTGAAAAATTAAGAAAATATTTTTTGTGATTTTAAATATTTAGAAAAAATAAATAAAGTCAGAAAATATAAATTGTACAAAAAAAATATAAGAAATAAAAGAAAATGATCAAGGGGATGCAAAAAGTAAAAAGGAGGGGGGGGGGGTGCCAAAAGAAGCAGGCCTAAGCGCCAGGCCCAGACTCCACTTCATCCTTGACCTTTGTACACTTCCTACGCGCGTTTCTTCCTTAACCTGTATCTCTTGCATACGTGCATAAAAACGAAATCTTGCAACATGAAACTTGTAGCATTTTTAGTAACGATTCCATTGATATAAAAAACATGACCTAACTCTCAAAGATCAAGAAGAATTTTATCACCCCTAATTTCTGACCTAAAATTTTCAGCAACTTGAATTATCAAATACTCCTAGCTCAGTCAATATAAATGGAAGCTATGCATATGTACAGCTCAAGCACATTAAAGACTACATTTTTGCTTCACAAACCGAAGCTTAAAGATGCCTAAATAGAGAGATGGAAACTTGACAAATACCTTGTTCAGTTGAGTTTGGATATGACAATGTAGGTACTTTGAGTGAGGCCTGGAGTACTTGTGAGCTTGCTTGAAGTTCCCTCAAGCTATCCCAATGCTCAGCTTGCCTTGAACTTGCCTGAATCTCCCTGTAGAAGTCAACCTGCAAAGCTTCAAAATGAAAATGGTGATACTTGAAATAGAGATTACAGTTGCTGGATAGGGTCCTGGATAGTTCAGGTGTGATGTATGGAATGTGTTTGAAGTGGTTCCAAGCAAAACGCACGAGGCAAAATGGAAATGGCTTGGTGTTTGCAGAAGTTGCCTTGTTTTGGGCAGAAATGGGATTTTTGTGTTTGAGGGTGTTTAAGAGCTTATCAAATTGTGTCTTAGGCTTGTTACAATATGCTGAACTTGTTTGAAATGATACCAAGACTTGGTTTTATCAGATGGAAGAGTTGTGTGGACTTTTGCAAGTTTTCTTGCTTTTGAAGAAAAGTTGGAAGTGACTTGCCAAAGGCTGTACTTGCTAGCTCATGGGATGTAGAGGGTTGGTACACTTTTCCTTATGTTCATGGATCTTGTTTGCAACTAAATATCAGGTTCAATGCTCAAGGAATACAAAATTGCAAAAAGCATGCTTTATCAAAGTAGCATTGTTACCTTTATGCCATTTTTGGAATAATTCCTTGTGCAATGCTCCATAGCTCAGAACAAAGCCATTGTCCAATGTATTTGCATTCAATTTTGGAGTTTAAAAAGGATTAGAACCTGTAATGCAAGTACAAACATGATTCAAACTGATTTGCAACTTGAACCAATGTGAAAAATGCCTTGGACAAAAGTGATAATTTGCCATTTTCATTTCTTTGATTCTCCCTAACCACAAATGATCATGGAGAGTTCTTGGAAATTTTGGAAAGCTTGTAACATGCTTTACAATCCATCTTTGAAATTAATTTGAGATTCAACTTGGAACTAGGTGAAAAGTTACCATGAAGTTAGGTCAAAAATCTGCCTAAACTAGGGCAAAATTTCACTAAGTTAAAAGTTTTATGGACCCTTATTCACAAAATCATAACTTGAGATCCAAGCATCTTTTGGGAAAACTTTGTGAATCAAAGTTGTA